TTTTGTAGCGATTTGCCCCGACAACACCAATAAAGCATAGAGCAAAAGACCCGAGTGCCCTGAGCGAGCGGTAGAGGAGAGGGGACAGAAGGGAGGACCAGAGTTTGTTTGTTGATTCACAAACATCAAAGAATGGCATGGGAAAGTCGTCGCACGTCTGACTGTGTGTCTGTCCGTTAATATACACGGGAATGTACCGCGACGCGTTGGTGAAGCGGTCATCGCAGGGGGGGGGCGTAAGACCAGCGCCTCAATCACAGATGATTGTTGGTGGTAAAGGTGTCGTTCCGAGAAATATTAGCACAATCGATGAGGGCTGTTCACAATATAGAATTACCAGTATATACATTTTCCAAGGAGGCACTCGCCCTTCGACATACGCAGACATTTATTCGCGGAGCTACACTTTCGTTAAGTCTTGTAAAGAAATAAAGTAAGTATTTGGGATTAAGGTGGGCGCCAATTTCAAATCGATGAAAACTTTCAGTAGTGGAGAGGTAGTGTCGGGCCAGTACTTTTCAGAGCACTTCAGGACTCCTTCTCAGAGAGGTGGTTGCACGCCATGTGAAGTATCTGAAGATGAATTCAGATTAAGTATTTCCTCCTGCAGGTATTTGCAGACGTCAGTATTGTACTCGTATAAGCTTGTTGGGCTCGAGGGCCTATCGAATATCTCTCTCTCTCTCTCTGCCAACCGCAAGCGTCGAAAGTATTCTGATTAGCCTCATTCGGCTGTCTGTTTCGTTTTACACGAAATAGAGAGCTATCTGCTATTGCTGAGTTGTATAGTCTTGGGTGAAATGAGACGACGCTCTACTGTGCGGTGGACCAGAACCTAATCTGAATTACCTTTGTTCATAATCATAATCATGTGATGAACTGTCAGCTGCTTCCAATTCCAGTCTTCGCTTATTGTTTCGTTGCTCATTCGAAAGTGCTCTCGGTTGTGGTTATTGTTATTGTTGTTGTAGTTGTAGTTGTAGTTGTCGGTCCCCAGTGAATAGATGGATGGATGGAAGGATGGACGAATGGATTGCATTGTTATGCAAAAGTTTCGACCACCCAACAAAAGCAAATCACATTGATGATGGGTTTGGGCTTGGGTTTCGGTTAGTGTTTGGGTTTAGGTATGGGCTTTGGGCTTTGGGTTTGGGTCTGTGTCTGGCCTGGGAATTGGGGTTTCGGGGTTTGGGGTTTGGGGTTTGGGGCTTTGGTTTGGAAGAGTATTTAGTGTCACATCATTAAAATCGACAAACAACTTTTGTCAAACAACAATTCAGCAGAAACTACATCAAGACCCGGTGTATCCGTATACGTATCCGTATGCGTATCCGGATCCCTACCTCCACCCGATTCCTATTCATTTGCCTTTCCATATAAACTAAAAGTGGAAATCTACAAAATTAATGAGTCATCGTAAAAGTTAACAACTTGCGCAAAATTGTTTATCTAAAGTGCTAAGCTTTTCTGCCTTTGCCTCTCCCTTTGCTGCCTGCTGCCTCCTGCCCGACTATATCTAATATAAATTGATGTCCTCGATTGGATTGGGTGCCTGAAGGAGGCTCTGGCAGTGGTCGTGGTGGAGGTGTTGGCGCTGGCGCTGGTGCTGGTGTTGTGGGTGGGTAAAGAACACGCAGACGTAATCACTTTTTAAGTGTTGGACAATTTATGATACATGAAAATGTTCTTCCTGCTTGGCTCTCCACAATCAACCGCATACCTGCGCCCTATCGCTCCCGTTGGATTCATGCCATTCATTCCCTCCCCACCCCACGCCTCTCAACACAGCGCTGAGACAGATGGAGAGAGGGGGAGAGGGTTGACAGTAGACTCAAAGATTACTTTGGTCTCGGGTTTGTTCTCAAAGGGTTTTCTTCTACAACCATTACCTCCCCTCCGCCTACGCCACAGCCAGCGCCAGCGACAGCTTCCCCTTCCCAGCCTCCCAGCCTCCCCCCCCACACAAAGCTATCACCCGCTACCCCGCGGCTATCACCTGTGTGCGCAATAAACACCTCAAAGTTGATGACATTTCATTAAGATCAAGGTGTGGTGGCGGGACCAGAGCGGAGGCTCGCAGGCGTGCCAAATGAATTTACTTATGGAGCATGAAAGTGGGTTTCTTTGGTTACTTTCGGTTAAGTCGCCTCGCTCCTTCTCCACCCGTTTGCTACGTCCCCCCCCCGTTTTACCCCTAGCACAGCAGCATTGATGAAAATTTTCGTGTTCATTTGGTAAAAAGGTTTTGCAGAACGATGAACGTTGACAGCGACGCCAGAGCTTCGTCGACGCATTGAATTTCATTAAAACAAGCGCAAAAGTGCTTTTACCTATCCCCCCGCCCCCACACACACATATGAGCAGGTGGGAGCTTGAGAAGCTTGCGGGCTTGCAGCCGGCAAGGACTCTCGCTCTCATCCACTAGGACGACACACACACTGTGAGTAAGAGAGACTAAGTGTTGCCGCCTTTCTGCCTTTATTGGTCTCCTTGATTTGCCTAAGTGATGTGCCCAAATATGTATGTGTGTGTGTGTGTGTGCAGCTCCCTCTCCCTCTCGATGCTGTGGTAAGCGGGAAGGACACATTAAGCACCATGTAGGTGAGTTTTCCAAAGAGCGAAGTGACTTTGATTGCAAAAGCCACAGATATTTTCGTATTTACTGTCATATTCCATGTGAATTTTCCCTACTGCATTTTTAGTTTTTCATGGCACTGGAAAGAGATCTCCCCAGCAAGAAGATTTTAATCAGATTATATGATTAACAAGATGTATTACAATTTGTTGAGGTTACAATTTAAATTTAAGCACTTACAGTTTAATAATACGTCTTCAACCGACGCACAGTGGGACTGTCGGGCATTTCAGCTGGCTGAACTGGCAACTTCTAAATTTGCACAGATATTTTCATGCAATAAACTGCACTTGAAAGGTAAAACTTTAATGTTGTAGCCTACACCGAAAAGCTTGTCAGTATTTTGTTTTGTTGCAAGTGGATGTTGAATGCTCAATTTGGACATTTTTTGTCCAACATTTGCGCATGTGAGCACCAAATATTTGGCCGTTTTCGTGATTTCTTTCACGTATTCAAAGGCCCTCAATGCGTATAATCATTGTTACTCGATTCATGCACTTCCTCTTAAAACTCACGACGTGATATTTGTATGTACAAGTGGTTATGCAGCTCCAACTTCACCAAATCAACGTTTTATGGATAGCGTAAGCTTCTTTCTGGGCTATTTGCAGTTTGAAATATATGACACCCAATCTTTTGGGCATGTGATTATTCAGTATAATAATTTATTCAGTAATTTCGATTTGCTCAACGTTTCGCGACCCTCAGTCCAAATTTGTTACAAATTATTCCCCCCCTCGTTGAGTGATAAATTAGCTTAAAAATTGTTTTTAAATTAACTCCTATTACATAAAATTTTCCTCTCTTATCCAAATTTGGAAATTTAGTGTTGTTTAAAACGCTCTTGTCAAGGTATATTTGTGTGTTAACACACACACAGTGAACAGGGCCAGAGAGACTCAAGACGGCTCAATCAAACAAGAGAACGTAAATGTGCGTGTGAGCATGTCGCAAATGCGAACATAAGCGAAATCCACACAGAAAACTGGAACGGAAACAAGTGCGACAAGTGCGTACACTCACAGAGAAAATGACCGACAACGCCAACAGGTATATTCAGAATAGTACTTCCAAAAGACATCGTTCGGAGCAGCAAAAACAGTTCCCAATACCCGCTGAGCTCTTTGTAGAAAAAAGGACGACATAGTACAAATGCAAGCAATTTCAGAAGCAAATCCATCGTACCTACAACCAAACGAAATATCAGGGGGACAAAATCGTTGGCGAAGCTAGAATCAAACAATCTTTGAAACGACAATGACCCTAAACAGAACCGGAGCTGCTCATCGAGCACCCAAGTTTAAGAATTAATTATCCAAAGAAGCTCAAAGCTCAGCTCAAATTTAAAAGAACTGAAAATGAATCGGAAATAAACCAAATCCAGTCAAAGCCATACTAAATACTGGCATGGAAGTGCCCCAAAAAGCTTAATTAAATTACAACTTTATCACAACCGAACTCCAACGCAGAGAAAAAATGAATGCATGTAGAGCTAAAATATCTGCAATAAGAAGAACCGGTACTGTAGCAATGCCTTTTGCTAAGACAACCGAAAGACAAACAGCAAATGTGTATAAAAGTGACCATTCGAAATCAGGAAAGCTTTTGCAAATTTTGATCGAATGCCGAACCTATGCTGCACTTGGTAAAAAACCACTTGAGGACCAAAACTTAATTGTGTAAAAAGCCAATAAAGAGCTTCGACCAATCCCGAACCTCAACTAATAATGGCCGGAAAAGGGCCTAGCCAGAATCAATTTGAAATCCATAACCCAGATGCAATCGCATTTCGATTAACAAGCAAAGTCTAGTCAGAGGACGCTGGTCAGCAGCAGACCAGAATCAGGGGGGTTATCCAAAAATAGTATGCAGTCAAAGTGTCAGAAATTTGAGAGAAACACCATTGAAAAAGGGAGGCCAAAGGACACCAGAGTTCACTTTTGAGTGGAGTGGAGTAGAGTGTTGTGGGGAGTGTGGAGTGCACTGAGTTGCACACTTCCGAAGATGGCCTGGGACAGCGCAACAGCTACGAGACAGGTAAGCAATCTGCTGGAGAGTGTGATGTGATGCTGGCAACATGTTGCCAAAGGATAGACGCCCACTCCCACTGAGCCGCTCGGGAAGCCGGAATGCCGAATAGGATTCAACCGAACTGCCAGCGAGTGCTGTGAGCTGTGCTCGTCTGGCATCGGATTCGTCTGACTTCGCTCCGAATCGCTTCGCATGGAAGCGACTTCGTCGCGCGTGGGGACAGCACAGGAAATAACAGGACAGGCCGAGCAGAGCAGCCGAAGGACGAGCGCGTTGTGTTAGGTCGGTCCAATGCGAGCAGAGCTTGGCGCGACAGGTTCAGTGCTCGGGCAACTTCCTAGCGCGTCGGTTTGCTTCAGTCCTCAGAACGCAACTCCCAACTCTGAATCGTGTTCGTTCCCCGCTTACCGTTACAAAATCTTTTTGAAAACAGTTTTCCAACGGCCGCAGAAATACGCAAAACGCAAAGCGCAAAGCGCAAAAAGCGACTCAAATCAAATCAAATAAAAGAAGAAACGAATAATTTTAAATAGTGCAAACCACTTCGAGTAAACCCAAATAAAGAGAATTATCTCAGAGTTACGAGTATTTCAAATATTGCCGATTTTGTTGTTGTTAAGTGTTTTTGAAAAACCCGATTGTTTTTGCATATTTTTTTCGAGTGTTGGCAGGTGTTTGAAATCGGCTTGTGAACCGGCACAGGTAATCAAAATCAATCTAAAATCTTAATTTAAAGTTGAAGATTCTTTCATTGAGTTTCCAGTGAGTTTCTTGAGCGTATCCCAAGGATTAAAGATATTCGGGGAAGACAATTGGGGCAGGCCATAACAACGACCGCAACTCCTCTTGTTCTCTAAAATTCTCAATTCTCCCGCCAGTGCACTGCAGTGTAAACGGTTCGTTTCACTGATTTGCTCGTTCACTTAATGCATTAGTAATTGGAAGCATTTTCATCAGCACTCCCTTTTCGATCACTTTTTCAGCACAGTATTTATTGTACTTAATTATATATTTTTCAAACACATCATCAATGTTGGAATGGATCAGAAACAGAATTTTGAATATCAGCGGATCAGCATCAATAGACGAATCGATCTAACCCCGACTTCTCAGAACCAAGACGAGTAATGTAACACTCATAGCACTACTTGTATTTTGTGATTTCGTTATGATTTGTTTAATTGTGTGCCTCGTACATGCAGCCACGGTGAAGGTTTCACCAGGCCAAGCTTACAAATTGTATGGCTAATAAATCCCCATTTTAAAATATCGGATTATTCCTTGTAATTTGTATTCGATTGATTGGGATAGTGGATCAGTTTTATCAGTTTTTCATGTGTTCATTTACTCAGAAAATTGCCTGTTCGTGTATTCAGTCATTCATTTCGACGTTCAACTGATTATCCAGTTCAAGAACTCTGAGCTTTAATATTTTTCCATTACTGTGTTACTTATTCAGCTACAGCTGCTTGTGCATATGATTTAGCAATTATTAGACGGTTTTTTTATATTTTTTAATTCATGAATTCCTCATTGCATGCTTTGTTTCCCCCATATTCAAGTGCGTTCTCTGTTCATTCATTCCGACATTCTGTGTCTGATTCATTCAAGCATTGATGTGTTTGTTTATTTATTCACATGTTGTCTAATTCATTTATTCTTTATTCACTCTACTCTTCGGTTGGCTTTACCATAGTAAATTAATTGAGTTATTAATGAACTCATTTAGTTATTCAGTCACAGTATTTACTCGCTTATTTGTTCGTTGCATCACTCATCAGCCATTCTTCCTCCTGCACTTGTTCTCCACTGGCTTTGATTTCTCTAGTCTTTGATCTCTTCAGAGGCTTTTCTTTCTACATTTTGAAGCTCAGCATCCCTCTTGCCTCCACCACTGTACAGACATTCTTCTAAAATGCATTCTTTAAAGAAAGCCCAAACTTTATACCATCGTCTTGCGTCGAACAAAAGGTGCCAAAAATGAAACTGCAGTTGCCACCCATCCTTGACTCCTTTACCCCATTAGCCCATTTGCGCCCGTCTTTCTAACCAGCCGCTTCAAGTTTTTAGCTGGCCGTGATTTATGTTTTATTAATATTAAAAGTGATTTATTAGCCATAAAATTTGTGAGCTAAACTTGGCCCGCGCGGGCTATGGCCATGGCCAGGGCCAGGTGAAACCTTCACCGTGGCTGCATGCACGATTGTTTAATTACATGGGAACCGCCGTCTCCGCCTCCGGCCTCTGCTGCTGCGCCTTCGCCGATGCAGTGTGGCAGTTGGTCCCAAGCTCCGTAATATGTATCTTTAAGCGAGAGTCCTAGAGCACCGCTCATTAACCCGCTTTCGACCACCCTGCCCTGCCCCGATCGCCCGTACTTAAGCTAAACTGCAAAGCGAGATTAAAATTATAAATGACAGCAAGACTGACAGGACAGGACAGGACAGGACGAAGGAGTGGAAGCAGGACCAAGAGCCGCACCCGGAGCGAGAGCATCTGTTCGTCCAGGCTGTTCTTTCACGTCATGTTGTCTTCTGTGTGTGTTTCACGCTCTCCCGCTCCATTTAACGTCGCATTTTGTCGTGTTTTTAATGAAAATTAATTAATCAAATAACATTTTTCACTCATTCGCCCCGTAGTGCCACCAATTGTCTTCCTTTGAGTGTGATTCCGTGTGCATGTGCGTGTGCGTGTGCGCGTGAGTATGTTGGAATGCATTTTATATTAAATATTGAAGTGCCCAGAATGCATGCCCCAACAAACCCAAAAACAGATACGAATGAAAGCCAAATCCATAGAAAATTAATTAAATATATTTCTTATAGCCGAAAGATACGTCCATATAATCTTAAACTCTGATCCAATCTCCGCATAATCATTTTCCAATCAATCAATTATGTAGATTTCAATTAATTTGTATATCAAAAGCCTTGGCTTTTCCATATCTGAAGGGTAAATGGTATATAATAAAATAGTAGGAATACGAACTGGGAAATTAAGTCGGAGGACACATATGTACAAATATATATACATAATATGTAAATGAAAAACTATTGGGAAATGTTAAAAATTTGTAATTTTCGATCTTTTCCCGTTAGCTATGCGAAAAAGCTTTAGGCGGTTAAAGAGGCAGATGCAGGCGGCACGGCCCCCCCATCGGGAATTTCGTCCCCAATTTTATGCAATTGGCTTTTAAATTACTGCAACTCATGTTTTTTAGACTTTTGAATATTCCCAGCATGAAGCCCCATATGCAAAAGTTTAATTGATTCACATCCAACAGAAAAAGAGATGATTTTGAAAAAAATGCAAAAATATGTTGTTCATATAACGGATATGGCCCCAGACCCATAACAGAAATCGCACTATACCTCTCAATTTCTTTCTTATTAGTTGGAATATTTACCATGCCTTTCGAATACAACTCATCATTTGCTGACCTGTGGTTACTCTGCAGCCTAAACAGCTGCGTGTATCTATCGTGTTGCGTGCCAGAGTCAAATTCGTCCTTTCTGCTGCATTTGCTGCATTCCCCAAAATGACTGCGAATACGCTTTTTTGTAAGCTTCTATCCTAAGCTTATTTTTAAATTACGTTTTTAAAGAGTAGACGGCTCACAAAATCTCCATATTTTCTCCCCGATATTAATGGGTTTTTACCTGCTTTATGGGATATTTCAACTCTCCTAGTTGCCTTGAACCGAGATACGATGCATCAAAAAATCCTACGATTAACTCAAACATGTTTCAGGCAATTACAAATTACGATTATTTTTTTCCTTGTAAATGTAAATTCTGGGCTAGTTTTGCTTTTACAGCTCAAAAACTTTTAATATAAACTGTTCAAAATAATACCTATGTGGAATTTATAATGGCTGCAAGCCTGAGCATGTTTGACTTTGAGTAGCATCGCTTTAAACAAGTGCGACAGCTATGAATAGCTACCCTGTATACATATATAATATATAAGCAACTTTATCAATCACTAGAAAGCAAGATAAGTTCTGATTTTGATCGAATCCTTAACGAAATTTCAAGACTTGGTTGGACTATCTTATCGAATAGATTTAATTAAAACTAATTATCGTAGTTTTTAACAATACGATTTCACATACACACAGACATAAAAGGTTTGTCCGGACAAGATGAAAGTGAAACCACATGTACATACGTATTTTGGGTTAGTGGTTCAGAATTTGAGGTCAGAATTCAATAGTCATTTACGAACTTTTGGCTCATTATTATAGTCAAAATTAAATTAGATTGACTTTCGTACCCCATTGAAGACAGAGGAACATGCTTTTAGCTGAATTCCCAGAACCCCAAAATTAAATACAATAATACTAGTAGTCCAGAATCATAGCAGGGTAGATTTAAGAGCTATTAATCTTAGCATATTTTCATATGTACATATATAGAAACTAATGAGGCATGTGCACCTCGGCTCAAACGTTCCGACTGATTTCAAGAGAGAGAATTCCAATTTTCTATAGCAGCAAAAGTAGTGGTACCATATTAAGTTCATTATTCAAACTAATGATCGGTCTAAAAACTAAAAAAATAATTCTCTAAAGAAGTTGTTGGCATTTTTTTGTGTGCTTAAGTTTTTAAGTATTTAAATACTGAATACTTTTTATTTATTGTTGTATTTCGTATGATTTTAAGCAATTTTGCCACGACCGATACATACATATGTGTATTTGTATATTAGGCTGATTCAAAATTTGATCAAACATTTTTGTTTTGTTTTTTCAAGTGGACACCCCATTACTCTGTTCTTTGTTAGTAAATAAAATTATAAAATTTTTTTCAATCAAATTTTTAATTTTATGTTTGGGGCTTGTTTTGCTTTTGGTTAAATATACATTACAAAAAATGTAATTCGTCGGTTTTTTCAAATAATACTGAAACTTAGAAACTTCTTATTGTTCTTATTGAGTTCTTATTAAGTTCTTATTGAAAAAAATGTATTTTTTTTTTTAACGATTGGTGAAAATCAGGAATTTCAGCTGACGTTGATATATTTAGTTAAAGGGTTCGCAAAATAAATATAAAAAGGATAATTAAATAATTAATAGTATCAATATATATGCCATAGATTTCACCGCATTATCCAATTAATTCAGCAAAGAAACATATGTTCATATATGTACATTTCATATACATACATATGTATGTATTGAGATAATTATGAATTATTTGGCCATGATCTGAAGACTTTTTCATGAATGGGTTGGGTACTTCTGCAGCATTAAAGCCGAGCGAAACCATTATCAAGATCATCCTCGTAGTAAGTCGTTAAAATGGAAGACCCCTCCCCCATCCTGCATTATAAACCACATCGCAACCTCATTCCGCCTCTTTTCGCTGGATCCAGACCGCAATCACACAAATTGACTGACTGCCCGTGACGGGCAATCGGCGCTAATTATTTGGAAATAGGATATGGCCGAAACGATGACTGATGATGTGGCCATCAATGCATGAATCGGCCTGGTCAGGCCCGGTCCATTGCAGGCCGGACTCTTGCCTCCTGCACCCCGCCATCCCATCCCGATGGGGCAGAGTGAACCAGATGGTAATGTGAATGCATTTCTGAAGGGGATTCGAGTGGTCATTGAACAGACTTCGCAGAGGTAGCAGACGGCTGGTTGGAGGGTGGGCAGGGAGTTCAGGTTACGTGAATTTGGTTTATTAGAGAGG